GTCCTTCTGCGGAATTGCTCGTCATCGTCGAGCTCGCGAGCAGAGAGGCGTGGGTTCAGGATCTACTACTAGGGTTTTAGGGTTTAAGGTTTTAGGGTTTTAGGGTTTAGGGTTTTAGGGCTTTAGGGCTTTTAGGGCTTTAGGGTTTTAGGGTTTAGAGCTTTAGGGTTTTAGGGCTTTAGGAGATTAGCGTTTTGGGTTTTAGGGCTCAGCAAGCCCGGAGGGGAGACGACGGCCACTCCGAGGGCGTGGCATCCGCGCCGTGGCCCGGCGCAGTATGGACCTGAATGGCTAAAGGCGTCGTCGGGAGCTGGAGGAGCTCGTAGAAATAGGACACATAATAATAGTGTTCAAAATAATAATAAGAAGAAGAATAAGAATAAGAATAAGAATAAGATTAATAATAACAGTAATAGTAATGATGATAACATTGGTGATAATAATAATCATCATCATCATGGTCAAAATCATAATCATAATCATCAAAGTAACAATAATCATAATAACTGTATAAATAACGACAGTAAGGCTGCCATCAATTCCTTTCAACGTTTAGGATGCAATGCGCGTAAAGTTTGCCGGGGGCTTTCTAAGGTTCAGGATTAACGCCCGTTTGAAAGCTTCAGAAGTTTGGTAAATGGGCTTTGGGTAGAGTTACCGGCTCACCCAAATCAGGATACTTGCAACCCTAAACCCTAAACCCTAGACCCTAAACCTTGACTAGAACCATGTGGGTAGTTCTTTAAATTAGGGTCCCTCTTAGGGTCCTTTTTATACGTATTTCAGGGAACTTGAAAAAAAAACTAATTTGGAGAACTACCCGTGTTCGAAGACCTGCAACTTAAAGCCTCAAACCCTCGGCCCTCAACTCCAGTGCTCAAGCAGCAATCGCTGTCCCTGTTATAAGCTTGACCCCACTCGGACCATTATTTCAGAAATCAAAAAGTCAGTGATTAACCATAGTAATATGGACAGCTTGAACATCTCTAGACGCAGCCAAAATGACGGGCCCTGCCCCAAGCGCTTAGGTGCGAGACTTGGCTTGATCCCCGACAGACCTGGAATAACCCAAGTAGGGTGAGTTGGGGTCTTGCTGGGATCGGACAGTGGATCCATGCTCACGCAAGTCTGGAGGCGCACCTTTTCGAGACATGCCATGAGACACTGCCTGCTGCAGGATGTGCAAGTGCCACCCAGACATTGGCCCCGCGGCAGAACGGCGTGCTCGAAACTCTCAGAAGGAGGATGATCATGATGTTATCCGGAACCACTCTGTATAAACGCAACAAAACTTTTTAGTAAAGCATACGTACACCCCAGTAGAGTCAGTAGAGCATCTACTTCTTGGGCTGCCAATCCAACCTTTCCAGGTGATTGGCAAAAAATCCCCGCGGCCGTCTGTTCCGACATGCAAGGAGTCACCAGCACCAACCCTGTTTTTTTGGGGGCTCAGACTTTTGGGGCTTTGGGTTTAGGGTTTAGGGTTTAGGGTTTAGGGTTTAGGGTTTAGGGTTTAGGGTTTAGGGTTTAGGGTTTAGGGTTGTGTCAGCCCTGGGCTTTAAGCTTCAAGCTGTACAGCTCAAGCTTTAGCACTTGGGCTGGCGGCTTAGGGATTTAGTTGCAATGGGCTTCTCTCAGAATCACCTGATGTGGTTCGTAACGAACCGTCACAACCCACAGTTACAGGCAGAACTTCCTCTAAGAAATACAGCATGGTCTTGGGGCATAAAAGGCTGCTAGCTACATGTCCTGAGGCTCTCGTAAACCTTTGAAGAACACTCTGCTGGACCGTTTCTGACTCCTAACCCCAAGTCTATCAGAGCTTTCCTCGTTTTCGTTGTGATCTCGGTTTCAAGCGGCTAAGATTCACACCAATGAACCCTTTCCCCTGGACCCAAAAGCAGAAGATCGGCTTAGGGCTCAAGATCTAACCCTAAACCCTAAACCCTAAACCCTGTTACTCTCAACCAGGCTCAACCTCAGCGGCTGTGCCGAGGACCTTGGTGAATTTATCAGAGCCCCTGCCTTCAACCAAACCGCCATGTCCGGCACAAGCATGTCAAAACTGCACATACGATCCCTAGAGCCTAAGAAAATGTTAAAACCCCTAAACCCCAAGCTATATCGAACACCAGCTTATTTCAAACCACAAACATTTGCATGCAAACCCCTTAGCAACAGGGCACTTAGGGTGCTTGGCAGATTCCTTGCAGATTTCCCCAGTACCGTCTGCACAATTGGCAGACTCAAAACTCCTCGTTCAGCCTTGGCTAGCGGGAAGGGTAGAGAGACCCTGAAGCCTAAGCCCAAAGCCCTGAAACCCTAATTAACCCAATGTACCTCTGTGTCACGTCGGCCTTTCTCTACAGGGTATCCTGGCGCGGTTGAGGCATGGGGTTTTGGGGTTTGGGGTTTTGGGCTTCGGTTTGGAAGGTGTACAAGGAGCCCAATACAATACCCCTTAGCTCAGCAAATGCAGGTCAGATCATATCCGCCGAGGCCACAGGCCCCCCGGCCTTACATCCAAAACCCAACCCTAAACCGCTAAACCAAAAAACCTTCAAGTAAACCTCTCACTTGGCTCGGGCCAAAGGGCGAAAAGGCGTTGAGCCCGTCGCCGGCACCGGCCATGACCCCAGCCTTTAGGATAGCGGTTTAGGGTTCAGGGGTTCAGGGGTTTAGGCTTTAGGGCTTTAGAGGATTTAGGGATTTAGGGCAGGGGTCTAGGGCTTTAGGGGTTTAGGGTCGGGTTAAGGGTTTTTTAAGCTTTGGGGGTTTCCACGGGGTTTTCGGGCTGTAGGACTTTGCCGAATACCCACCCACTTCTTCTTCTCAAGCGTTCATATACGGGCCTGAGGGTTTAGGGTTTAGGGTTTAGGGTTAAGATAGGCTTTAGGGGTATACTCTACTAAAAGTATACAAGGAATATAAGGGCAAGACTTCTTCCGACCTCGAGATTACCTGAGCTCCTTGTCTGAGCCCTGGACCAGTTTACGCCTTGCCGAGGACCCCCAAAAAAAAACTGCAGAAATACTGGCTTGATGGTTGATGTTGCGAAAACAGCAAAAGGCAAAACCCGCCCCCAAAACAGCAGAAAACTCCCGACCGGAACCCTGGACAATTTCTTAAACCTCAAAACCCCGAAACCTTATATAAACCCTAAATCCTAAAAACGCTGCCTTCTGGTATTCCCCCACTCGTTTCTCGAAGAAGTTCGTCTTGCCTTCGGGCGTCTTTGGGCTGGGGCCTGCTTCCGGTGAAGGGTTTCTTTCGGGTTTAGGGTTTATGGTTTAGGGTTTAGGGTTTATGGTTTAGGGTTTAGGGTTTAGGGTTTAGGGTTTAGGGCTTAGGGGGTTTGAGTGTTTTAGAAGGGATCGCTCTTTCGGAATCCCTTAGAGATTTATAAGGGATCTATAGTTTCTGAGCAATACATCCTCGACCCCAAACCCTAGAGCTTGGCTACTGGCCCTGACTCAGCAACAGTTGAATGACACACTTACAGTATAGACATATAAGGCCCTTAGTGGATATGTCATGGCATGCCCATTATAGTCTGTTACTGCATCGGGCAGGAACCCGACCTAAACCCAATCACTACAGCAACAGATGCAAAACAATCCAGGATCCATAGGCAGTCTAATTCATCCATGGGAGCTTCAGAACACAAGGGACCCTGGTATAGATCCCTAAACACTAGGCTCCTTCTTAAAAAAAAAACTGATAAATAAATGAATAAGCACAAGGCAGCTCCATCAATTCCAAACGGTAGCCAACAATCCAGAAGAAGAAGGAAACCCCATAATATAGGGGCCTTAATAACTAGGGTAGGGTCTTGAAGCCCTTGATACTATAATTATAATAAGGAACCCCCAAATAGTATTGGTAAGTGTTTAGGGCCCTGCATTACAGCGTGTGAGAAGCCGTAGCTTCTGGCATCCTTATGGGAGGAAGCTGGGGTCCACGGCCTAGGCTGTGGATGCAACATGCAAGGAAGCAGACGCACCACATAACAGACTCCTAAACCGTGATGAAAACCTTCCACTTGGAGGTTCATGGGTAGCTATAAGTGGGGTTATAAGTAGGGTAACTATAGTTATAGCCCATGTTGAGGGACTTATAACCCCACTTATATCTACACATGAACCTTCAAGTAGGAAGGTCAGATCAAAGCCACGATGAGTCCTTTTGCTTCAGACGACAGCCAGCAAAGGTCGAAGCATGGGTCGGCTGTAGGGTTTAGGATTTCGAGGCTAATACCCATGCTTAAAGAACAGGACTACTTGTCTGCAACGCTCCCTGATTTGCGAGTACCTCCCGAAATGGTTCATGGCAACCTGGGCCGCTTCTCCGGGAATCTTGCCGTTGCAGGCGATGCGCTTGTCGGCGCCCAAGGCAATGAGCGCTTTGATGGCAAGGAGGTGAGTTCCGGTGGGGCAGGAAGCTGCAGCGACGCAGAGCGGCGTCCGTCCCAAGGCGTCGCGTGAATTGACATCGAGACCGAGGAGAACAAGTGCCTTTCAGAAGGCAAGCAGACAGAGGCAGGAATGAACGATGCAGGGGTTTAGGGCCTAGGGTCTCGATTCCTGTCGCGGGGTAAAACCCTAAACCCTAAACCCTTTTGATCCCGAGCCTTCAGCACCAGATCGCCCTGCCAGGCACCTTCCGCTGCATCATGGAGCAGTGTCTTGCCATCGTTGCCACGTGTTTGCACGGCTTGGGCCAGCGTCATCTTCCACAGGTTCGTGTTTTCACGGGAATACGCAACTTTCTTCATGAGATGCGCAAGCTGATCCAAGGCCCTTTCTGCCTCATCGTTCGGCCTTCTAAGCTCTCTCTGCGCATCACCCAAGGTCATGTCCTTCAGGCCTTTGATGTCGTTGATGTCTCCGTAGAGCGACTCCGTCTGCGTCAAATCCTTCTGGCTGTCGTTTGTGCGCACTGCCCCACACAGCCAAACCATCTGCGCCAGCACCACCACATATCGCATCATGTCTTTTGCAGACGCACGATTGGGAACGACGCCCTGCATACAATGAGCAGGAAAAGGCTTGCGAGCGAAAGTTGCGCGGAAGCTAGCAGCTCGTGGTATGCCTGTACCATAAGCTACGATAGAACCTCGACCATAAATATTATATATATATATATATGTATATATATTACTACCACTTTTCTTGAAAACTCCTACCCAGAAGCCTAAACCCCAAACCGTTCTTGCTGCTGTTCGTACTACCAGATGCTATGCCTGACAAGGGGCCCCGGAAGTTCTGGGCGCTGGAGGTCGGGCTTAGGTTCGGCCAGCAGGGTTTTCAGAGCAAGCAAAGGGGGCGGTTAAGGTTTAGAGGTTAGGGTTTAGGGTTTGGGGTTTAAGGGTTTAGGGTTTGGGGTTTAGAGTTTAGGGTTTAGGATTTAGGGGTTTTCAGGTTTGGAAGTTTAGGGGTTAGGGGTTTAGGGAATTAGGACTTAGGGTTTAGGGTTTAGAGGTTTAGGGGTTTAGGGTTGAGGGTTTAAAGTTTACGGTTGATCGTGCCACTTGTCGCAGCAACAGAAGCTGTTTCGGTGCTGCTAGAAACGGTTAGTCACAAAAAGCGTGGTCATAAAGATCACAACAGTGACAGCAATATGAAGCATAGAGCAACCAGAACAGTAGCAGCAACGACAGCAGTAACAGTTGCAAGAACAGTGCCTAGAACAAGATCAGGCGAGGATTGCAAAACACAGTCGGCAGTAAGAGCTCAGCCTATGACACACTGCAAACGGCATAGCATATCTACTCATTGCGGTAATAAGAGCTGTGCTGATGCTGATAGCCGCAAGTGCAATGCTCGCTCAAGGTTCATGATGATGACAATAACAGTAACGGCTTGTTTCCCATGTGCTAAGCAGCTTTTGACTGCTTACATACAACCACACCTGGATGTCTAAATACTTGCGCTCGTGATGAGGCAGATATGCATACGCACGCACAAGCACGAACCTAGGAATACAGACACACTACCCATTCACCAATTCACCACAGGCTCCTTGTGCTAACCCTGGTCCCGAAACCCAAAGCCCTAAACCCTAGACCCTAAACCCTGAACCCTAAACCCTAAACCCTAAACCCTAAACCCTAAAACCCTAGACCCTAAACCCTAAACCCTTTGGGCAAATGCCTCACAGCGAGATCAAGAAAGTCGAAACCCCCGAGGACGATGCCCAAAGGAACCCGTAAAGGACCCTTAAAGGGAACCCTTAAAGGAACCCTTAAAGGGAACCCTTAAAGGAACCCTTAAAGGAGCCCTTAAAGGAACCCTTGAAGCCGTAAAGGACCCAACCAAAAAGGAACACCAAATCCTAAACCCTAAACCCTAAACCCTAAACCCTAAACCTTAAATTAAAGGACCCAACCAAAAGGAACCACCAAAATGCCTTGCAGCGAGATCAACTCCATGAAATCGAAGGGGTTCGCCGAACCGAAGATTTTGCCTCGAAGCGGTCCGTGGCATCATGGGTTTAGGGTTTAGGGT